CATTGGAGTATAATTTTAGTAGAGCCGTGATATCACAGGTATTTAGCGCTTGACATTAAATTTTATACGTGGTAGAGCCATACTATATTATGGTCGTAGCACGAATGGGTCGGCTCGACCGGGGCAGGACCTCGCTTTCACAGAATATCGGCTTCAAATAGCGGCTTAATACTACTACTTTTTCGTATGGTGAGTGTAGAGATCCAGAAACGCTTTTTTACTGGAAACGAGGCATTCCATCTGCATGCATTTACCATCAGGTGGACTGTGTGCTCGTTTTTCACCGTTATTTTATAAAATGAAACATAGTACGCGATCAAATTGAAGTACATACATTCCCGTCTGCCCCACTGAAATTGTTAATTGCAGTTTTGAAAAAGTAAGGTTTAAGAGAGTTAGTGAAGTTGTTTGTACCTACATTGTTATCCGATTCTGAGTGTATATTCAAAATTTCAAATCTCTAGCTCTTCGGGAAGTGCTCAAAATTTAAGTAAAAAGATTCCACCTGGAACGATAGACATACAGATAAACAAGAAAGTGACTTAATAAAAATGTGGTAATACTAATTTACCACTTACTGGACGTTAAAAGAAAGTTATGTAAAAAACTGCATATCTGAAAATTTTAAAAATGCACAAATTTTCTCGGGAACGAGAAGAGGTATATACCTAGTAGGGGAATGTATCTATATAGAATGTTACTGCACTTTTTTTCATCATCATCTACCTCTAAAAGCCTACTTCTGAACAAGGGCCGCGCCCGTCGGATTCGCCGTAATCGTCAAGCTTAATGACGGTTTGATGATCGCTGAACCAAACATGTTTTGTTATGGAAAGAAGCAATGTATGTATTTGTTTCCTCTGTCATGTTTTACAATACTAAAACACCAAAATTTAAAACAATAACCAAAAGTCCACAATTTTCATATTGCATCATATAGGTATATAAAATACATTATAACGCTATAAAAACACAATAAACGCGATGCAAAGTATATACATATACGAGTATTATAGTCAATGAAACGGTCATATAATCATGCGACTGATGACCCCAAAGTACTCACACAGCACTCGCATCCACTCGTATGTACATCGCTCTATTGTTAAATTGTCCATCCAACAACCACGACCAACTGGCGCGTCTAGTGGCGCACAGACTATATCAATAAAACTTTGAAAAAAAAAAACGAAATAATAAAGTCAGCAGTCAGCAGATCAAAGTAAGTTGTTACAAGTGGGGTTTTAAGGAAATATAGACACGCAATTATTTGACAAACAACATTTAACCTCACAATATCCAACATAATAGATCCTTCGATTCGAGTCGCATCAAAGTGACCGAATTAAATGTATTTTATTAAAATTGGATACTATTCGAATGTTTGAAATTTAATTAATCGAAGATAATTGGAAAAGGATATTACCCAATGAACAAAATAAAATAAGTAAATTTGATGCATTTTAATGCTCGAAATGCCAATCGCCTGAAGAATCGATTAGACAAAGTCGATTACGAATGTAACTTAACACCTTTTGTTCACTTTAACTGAAACGTTTTAATTTATCGTTAAAAGATAAATTTTATTTAAAATGAATTCATTCAAGAATAATTAGCAGCGTACATACGCCTAATTAGGAGAAATCGAGTTCTTAAAATTGATTCTGATAACTCACAAGAAATTATATTAAACAGTAAGTCATAGCTATTATCTAAATGTGTACTCTGATAATGATTTTGTCATTATTCCTTCAATTTAAACCGAAGTTAAAATGAAGTAAATAACTAAGTTTCTTTGTTTATATAATACCCACCTACATAAATATAATATGAAATACGTATACTTCATCTTTTAAATATTTATTTACTTAGGTAAATATAATTAGAAAATGTAAAAGAACATGAATGATAAACACTATTGATTTAGTTTTGTTTTCTACAATTATATATAAAAATATATTATATAATATATTCTTTTTTTTCAACAATTAATCAAAATATTCTAAAATAACACTTAATACTTATAATAAAATAGCATATAACAAATAAAAATTACCGTGTAGTGGATAGTGGTAGCGTAAGAGAATTTAAGCCTGCCAAGTACCTGGCAACATATGGCATACATCCTTTCTATAAAGCAATCTATGGGGGGAGCCATGTAAAGAATGAAAGAAATATAATACAATATTAAATAAATTATATGCGTTTAAGTAAAAAGTTCGATAGGTAAATAAAAATTTTGCATCTTACAGTCCTCATGTTAGGTTAAAGTAAAGTAAAGTAAAGTTACAGCCTATATACTCCCCTCATTTGTGAGAGGGTTTTAGGGCGAGGAAGTGTCCGCAGCGCAGCCCCAATTCGTGTTGGTTGGCGAACTTGACATGCAGGTTTCTTCACGATGTTTTCCTTCACCGCTAAGCCACGTGGTAAATCAGCACTTAAAATTGCAATTAACAATTTCATTGGTGCCAGCGGGGATCGAACCCAACACGGGTTCGATCCTTACGTTCTGTTATATTTAGAACGAGCGTTAAGCATCTGAGCTACCACGGCTTCCATGTTAGGTTGCCAGAGGGAAATAACACACTATAAAGTGCGATCGATTAGTGCGCTAGTAGTTTAGCTAAAGAGAATCAGTTTAGGATATCAATTTTTCTGTTATTTGAATTTACCATTTAGTAAAGTCTATTTGCAAGTATACTTGGTAAGTGGCGAGTGCGAGGTGTGTAGTGGTAATGCGCAGGAGTGCGGGGCCGCGGGTCCGAGGCGCAGAACAAAGGGCGCTCCGTGAACCGCGACCGTCGCGCCTGGCTACCCGGGCCTCGTGCGCCGACGCACACGCGCGGTACACTCCTACCGCTCGCGTCCTGATTTTCTTACATTTCAAATTCGTTTTTAACATTATTGCAATAGCAGAATCGCAAACAAAATCGCTTTCTCTTACCAATATATAATACTGCCTCGTTGGTCTAGTGGATGTAGTAGTACGACTGCTGATCATGAGGTCCTGGGTTCGAATCCCGGGTCGGGCGAAAAAATCAATTATTGAGTTTTTCTGTCAAGAAATTCTCAGTAGCTGCCCGGAGTCAGGATGTTGGCGGTGTCTCACCCCCGTGCCTCGGAAAGCACGTAAAGCTGTTGGTCCTGCGCTTGATCTCTCTCCCGATCGTGTCGGTTTACCGTCCCATCGGATTACGAGAGTGACTTGGGCACTATAATCCTGTCCTGCGCCGATGGTTAGCCTCCGTTGAGGCAGGCTGCCGTGGCCGAAATTCGGTCAGGAGAACATTATTATTATTATTATTATTACATATAGTAATATGCTTCATCCAATAAGATTTTCGTGTTCCTAATTACTTTTAAAGTCGTGAGATGCACATTTTATAGACACATAGAAATACTACCCGGGAAACCATATAAAGATTCCATCAACTAAATTTAAGCTAACGAAGCAAGAGTCTAGGTTTTAAGGTCACAATTTTCTAGAGCTGTAGAGTTTTTAATATACATTTACAGACTGCAACACCTTATCGGAATAGACCTACGGCTCCATTATCAGACAAAAAAAACGTAAATACTTCAGTAAAAATATCACATTACGAATAAAATGATGCAATCTTTACGTGGTAGAGCCATGCTTCAGCTACATTAGTAGTGTAGTTGTAGCACAAATGGCTCGACTGGACCGGGAAAGGACCACGCCCTCACCAGCGTAAAAAAGCAGCTTAATGCTGCTGTGTTTCGTGTGGTGAGTGTAGAGAACCGGAGACCCTTTTTACTTGAAACGAGGCATTCCATCTTAGTCCTCACGGATGACAACGCATCTGCATTTTGATCTGATTCATAATAGAGGATAGATGTAGATGTCTATGGGCCACAGCAACCATCAGGTGGACTGTTGTACTCGTTAATCACCTTTATCGTATAAAAAAGCAACATTAAAACGAAACTACTTTTTTTTTAAAGGGCTTCCTAAAGTAAGATACAAAAAAACATAATTATTACAATGGTGTTTAAAAGTAACATTGCCTTCTACAAGCGCTTACAATTCAATAGGTTTTAAAGCTATAATATATGACAGCTCAGCTCATTCTTAAAGACTGTAACTGGGTGTGTGTAGGTTCAGAACTGTTGACAAAGAATAAACTTGGAGACTGTTCTAAAAAAATCAGTTATTACATACATATGTAACGGTGACACCGTCCACCTGATGGCAAATGGAAACTGTGACTCACAGTCATCTACATCTATCTCGACAAAAAGTGAAAATATAAATAGATTAGCGCAGTATTATTATCAAGCTGCTATTTCATGCTGCTATTGTGTGCAAGCGTGGTCCTTCCTCAACGAGCCGACCCATTGGTACTGCAACAATACCACAACTGCAGCATGACTCTACCACGTTTCTCCTCGTAAATTTTAAACTAGATTAAAATGTTTTTAATAGAAAATTATAGCATGAAATATTTATAAAATTTTTAACATATTATTTTGACCCTTAAAAATGCAACATTTTTCTAGATCATCTAGAAATGATGAAAAGAAAACTTACAAAGCAGCAAAATTTACAAAATAGCGGCAATATTCTCTTACCTGCAAATAAGATAGGAATTTTCAGTATCAGTTTTTACTATTACGCTCCTGCTTACACCCTTACCGTTACCGAGCCTATTAGAGCCTATTTAAAAGTCCACTGCTGAACATAGGCCTCCCCCATAAATTGCGTGATAAGGGGGTCGCTAACGCTATTTGTCATACTTGCCATGCTTGGCAAGCGGGTTTGGCAACTGCAGTTTTTTTTATTTTTAGTCGTCCTACTTACACAGTAGATATAAGTGAATGAAGTATTGGAGGAAACTGTGCTTACATTCGCTTGCCCACCTAAAAAACAAAACTTCATATTTTCGGTAATAGTTTAATCTCGAAGACATCATCTAGATTATAGACAGTGAAAAGTGACTTTAAATTCGTGTGCTCAATCATTTACATGTTTCTTACAGGTGGCTACACTACCGGCGGTCCGCGAGAAGCGGGCACGTACTACCCTGAAGCAAGTAGTGCAACGTCAGCCCCGGGTGCTTCGCCCCTAGAAGAGTACTACCCCCCGGAGTACCCGTCGGGAGCGCCCGCCGCGCCACCACAGCCCTACCTTGACGATTATTACCACCACGCACACGCACACGCGCAACCATTGCTCACGCATGAGCACAAATATCAGCCGCACACGTATACCAAGCCTTATCCCAGAAGTAAGTTTTTTTTTATTATAGAATAAGTATGATAAAATGAGCACACAGTCCACCCGATGGTAAGTGGATGCTGTGGCTCATATACATCTACCACCCCTGAGGACTAAGATGTAAGAGGAATGTCTCGGTTCCAGTAAAACGGATCTCTGGTTCTCAACACTCACCATACGAAACACAGCAGCATTAAGCTGGTATTTTACGCTGGTATTCTGTGAGAGCGTGGTCCTTCCCCAGTCGAGCCAACCCATTCATGCTACAACCTTAATATAGGTGCAGCGTATAAAAGTTCTTTTACATCATTCCTTTATACTCTTATTTTTGTGTTTTCGTTATCGCCATCTATATTTTATGGTTTTTTATTGTCTTGTTTAGTGATTGTGTAGTATAGTTTCCCTGTGGGAAGTTTTTCCATAGAGATTTTCTTTTGGTAAACTGGAGTGACAAATGGACTACAGTGCAACTGATGGTAAATATCTGCTGTAGTCTATGAACACCTGCAACCAACTTCAAGCAAAGCAGGCTACAATTGCATTGTCATCTCTGAGGACTAAGATGAAATGCCTCGCAGCCTGTTATTATACTAGCTCTTTATAACCTTCAAACGGAACACAGCAATGCAAGCACTGTTATTTGCCGGTAGACATAGGCAAGAAGGTGATACGTACCCAGACGGACTTCTAGCACAGAGTACATAATAGCTAGTATAGTATAATAGGAAATAAAACAGCAAATGGGCATCAGTGTCTTCCTAATAACAACCCAAGGCGATAAAAAAATCTTCGGTTGACAACACGACTGCCAAGCGTATAAAATACCCACCCTATGAGGCTATCTTTGGGAGAGGCCTATGATCACCAGTGGACTTTGATAAGTGTCGTTCAGGATTGGGATACGTAGGCAGAAAATTAGTCCTACGACCTATATTTGTCAATTACAATCTGACCTTTTACAACTTTTGACTTTAGAATCAGCGACCGTTACTGGGTTGCTTATAATGACAGTTGTATCCATGACTTTTTTTGCCACCAGAGTGGCTCCACTTAAAAATGAGGTGTAATATTTGACAAATTTCATAGCGGGGAAGTTCATTTGTGCGAAATGTGTAAAGGTTGATGTTTATTTCTTAATAATTAGAAAATAAATAAACCAAACCACAGATATTCATAAAAGTGGAAAAATTAAAAAGAATAGATTAAATTTGCAAAAAATTAAAAAGCAAACCACTGAGTCAGTGTTTTGTGTATTAATGTAATACTCTAGAAACTGATAAACTTTTATTTTAAACTAACTTCTCAATTTAATGACATTGCCTAACAAAACACTTTACCTCATTGTCAAGTAGTGATATCTGGTGACTGAAATAATATTAGCCCTCATTATTGACGGCTTTGCCGCGATAGTTAGAAGGCGGCGTCCCCGCGTTGCCCCTTTTTCAAAATAGCACCAACAGTATCCTTGGAGTATTCGTTGATGGGTGGGTTTTGCCACTTCTACAAGCGACAAGCGTGGGTGCGGGTAAACGTATGATAAACTGCTATGCTTTTTTGTGGATCTATCCTATATTTTTTATTTTGCTTTTGTTTTTATATTGTTTAGATGTAATTTTTTACCAACCCTAGTTATAATTTAATAAGTTAATAACAATTAGGGGCTCTGCCTGAAATAAATAAATTTAGAAAAATGCAGGGCTATAAAACATGACGTATAAAAGTTTCGGTACAAAAATAATTACCTTGAACTACGTGAAAACGTAACGCTACAAAAACATAGCAGATAGATATTCAGGTCGTCCTTGTCTCACAAAATGCAGAATAATATACATAATTTAACAGCTGGTCGTTAGAAAAGATCACAAAACGATAACCACAACAAAGGGATTTCTTGCATCGCGTATAATTAATGAATATATTCAGTTTCAAGATGGACGGTCATTAACACAGTCGAGTCTTTCATCTCCTTATTAAATCAGTGTATTAAGTTTCTTGAACATGTCACAGTAATGCACTAATTTGTCGAAGTTTTAGAGGTTTTTTTACGGTTTTGTAAAATTTTATGTTGGTGTTTATTGCTTCATTTAATCGGCTCTTTTCGGTATTGATTACGTATTAAGGGATTGCTAAATTCTACAGAAGTTAAAGTTTTTATTTAGAATGTTTTGCAATATGTTGTTGGTTTCTCATAAAATTGTACTCGGATTTAATTTTCAAAAGTAATAGTTTCACTGTTCTCTGCTATCAATTTTAAACATGTTTTGTTATTAAATGTAGCATGATCCTCCATTTCTAGTTTCTCCATTCCACGTTGAAACATGGAAATTGATTCATTTCTTTTTCTTATAAATAAGCTAAAATATTTTTTTTTAATTACAGGACCATTGTTTTAGATGAAATACTATAAAGTTCGAGCTTTTCTTATTTGTTCTGCAAAATAAACTTTAATAATTTGACAAGAATAAACGTATGCTAAGTTCAAGGTCTGGTTTGGTCATGCAGAAAGAATGAACGAGGAAAGAGTGACAAAGCAAATCTATGTGGCAGAAGTGAAAGGCAGAGTCGGAAAGGGACGTCTTAGGCGAAAGTTTATCGATCAAATTGGCGATAGGATTGAAAATGGGCCAAATTAATAGTGCCCTTAATAAACGAGCATGTATGCATAGGTATATGGATGTGGAGGAGGCAAGAGAGGTGTGTCAGGATCGTGCCAAATAGAAGTCTGTAGTCTCTACCTACCTCTCTGGGTGACAGGCGTAAGTGTTTATGTTTATGTTCAAGCTCTCATAAATAAGACTCCTTCGAAAAAACAGCGGCAAGAAAGTGTGGTCTTTCTTTGACATGTCATACATTTTGATGTGTGTTCGCAGGCACGGGCGGTCGGTACGGCGGCGAGGTGTACGGCGAGGGCTATGCGGCGGAGTACGGCGGCGCGTGCGAGTGGAGCGAGTGGCCGGCCGAGCAGCACGCACTCATCCCCCAGGACAAGCTGCCCTACCCCGCCTCCGGTCCCTGTTTCACTGGTGAGATTATTTATTTTTAACACTTCATATACACACATGGTATATAGGCGAACTTAATGCCTACGGCATTCTCTACCAGTCTACCTAGAACTCTACTTCCAATCTGTTGACTTATAACTTTATTTTTGTATTGTATACAACTAATTTTAACTTTTTTGAATTCCCAACGTTTCGAAAACTTTACAGCATCCATGATTGCGGAGGGCAAAATCCGTAAAGTTAATTTTATTCAATGTGTAGTATCCGCTTAAATATAAGAAATCGTTATTTATTTTTGTAAATTTTTTATAATCCCTCTGAGCACAAAAGTTGGTGTACCAACTGCGCAACATCAACAATAACACTTATTGGTATTTTTCAAATTTCCTAAATTGTATATCACAGCGGTAATATAACACATGTTTTTTTTATAAGATAGGGTAACAAACGAGCACACAGTCCACCTGATGGTAAGTGGTTGCTGTGGCCCACAGTCATCTAAATCTATCCTTGATTACGAATCAAAATGCAGATGCGTTGTCACCCGTGAGGGGTAAAAGGGTATGTCTCGTTTCCAGTAAAAAGGGTCTCTGGTTCTCTACACTCACCAGACAAAACACAGCAGTATTAAGCTACTATTTCATGCTGGTATTCTGTGAGAGCTTGGTCTTTCCCCGGTCGAGCCGACCCATTCGTGCTACAACTATACTACTAATATAACTGCAGCATGGCTCTACCACGTATAAAAATATTTTTTTAAAGAATAAGTATAACTAACGAGCACGCAGTCCATCTGACAATAAGTGAATTCTGTGGCTCATAGAATCCCACACTTATCTGCGTTATCACCTCTGAGGGTTAACATAAAATGCCTCGTTAGGTCTCTTACCAGTGAAAATGGTCTCTACTTCTCTAAATTATGTATATATTCATTACATTTTATGTTACCAGACAGAGTTGCACAATATTCCCGCTCTATCACTGATCTTTTAAGTTTGGTTGTAAATTTAATTCAACTTAAATTCAAATATTCTGGATTAGTTTTAAATTGTAATTTGAAATCATAATGAATCTAATTCGTTCTTCATGGTAAAAATTAAAAGTGCAAAATCAATGCCATTCTGCTTACAAACAGCTTTTCACTTTTTCTAGAAAAAATAACTCATCTTCTTTGTCACAAACCTTTCTATCTCATGGCTCACTGTTGGATCTATGTCTAGTTTTCTATCATTACAAATAGACCTTCTAGAGACACCTAGACACCTGGAGTATTTTATATAAAACATGTGTATTTAATCAAGAAGCTTTAGTAGAATTCAGATGGATATCTACACAGAAAAGAAACTGTACCACCTATTATTTAGAGTATAATTTGCTGTAATTTTTGTCAAAAATATACAATGAGTTGTACATAGTAAATCGAACGTTCATTACGGTTTAGGATCAGGCCCGATCCAACTATGGCAGTTCCTGCTGGAGCTGCTCACCGACAAAAGCTGCCAAGGCTTCATCTCCTGGACTGGAGACGGCTGGGAGTTTAAGCTCACCGATCCCGATGAGGTCAGTTTCTAGGAGCTTTATCTCTAATATCTAAGTTGACGCTTTTTATTTATTTCAAATAATTAACCTAACATGATTTATTTAAAAAATAATTATTATTTACATGTATATAGTTTTATTTATAAATGTTATTAAAATAATGTACAGGGAATTGACTCTGATTAATATTGTACAAAAAAATATTAATGAGATCCTTATACAACGCGAGACTGTACCACCGTACATTTGCCCTCTGTTTTTAGTTTATTTTTTAATAAGGTTTCGTTATAGGTAATGTACATATTTGTTTCGGCAAATGAAGCTAATTTGCTCACATCGGGTCATTTAACAGCAATTATCCATTCCAAAGTAGACTAAATCTTTAGTTTTAAAAATACAAACAAAAATTAATATTTTATTTCATTAACTTATGATCTAGCATCATTTAATATAGTAACATAACTTAAGTGAAAAGGAGCGATTTTTTGCAGCATAAAAATAGTATATTATAATGGCGTCGGAGACCACGAAGTTCCAATTCGAACTGACTTCGAAATACCGATATGCGGTAAAAAAATTCTTGAACTAGAAAATATATAAACTTCCTGCCCTTAAAACTACTCATATTAGTTGTTACTGCAGCTAGGATTGAAATGGAGGAAACGTACATAATACATATATTTAAGATGGGCAACAGTTTACTAAACAATCTCAGTATATTATAATAATGAGCGAATCTATCTTGCAGGTGGCGAGACGATGGGGCATCCGCAAGAACAAGCCGAAGATGAATTACGAGAAACTTTCTCGTGGTCTGCGCTACTACTACGATAAGAACATCATCCACAAGACGGCCGGGAAGCGCTACGTCTACCGCTTCGTATGCGACCTGCAGAGCCTCCTCGGGTTGGTTTATTTTCACATATTTAAGCAAATTAATACATTATATTCTAACATTCATCTGCCTTTGTGTCATGAAATTTATGGCCTAAAGCTATGTGGGACTTTTCTATAGGATAGGTTGACAAACGAGCACACAGTCCACCTGATGGTAAGTGGTTGCTGTGGGCCATAGACATCTACATATATCCTTGATTACGAATCAAAATACAAGATGCGTTGTCACCCGTGAGGACTAAGATGGAATGCCTCGTTTCCAGTAAAAAGGGTCTCCGGTTATCTACACTCACCATACGACAGTAAGCTCTATTTTATGCTGGTATTCTGTGAGAGCGTGGTCCTCCTTCCCCGGTCGAGCCGACCCATTCGTGCTTCAACTATACTTCTAATATAACTGCAGCATGGCTCTACCACGTATAAAATAGGAAAATACTAAAATAAAATAGGAATAGCAGTTATGATGAAAAACGGTTTTATCTGTAATATCTGTTTTAATTACTTTTCTTGCTGTATTTATACGTATTAACCAAAAGAAATATTAAATGAATAAATTTAAGCGGACAAACAAAAGTATACAAACAATAATATGTATTATTCAGGATGTGCGATAAACAAACTACTTAACCATAAATTAGCATTAAGATTTGCCCCACGTAACGTAACCCGCGCATATTGACAAACAACGACATTTAAATTTTATTGTGTGATATATCACGTAATAAAATTGAAGAATTCCTTGATTCCTATCTAAATTCAATTAATAATTTACTCATTCATTAAAGTGCCGTGATAAAATCATATAATTTTATATAATTTCTTATTTGATTTCTTCCGTTTACGCGAACACCACACATTTAAATAAAATTAATTTATAATTAGTCTCATTTCATCGTATGACTAATAATTCAAGGTACATCACTAAAGTCAAAGTTTTAGTAGCAACATTTAAAAGCACATATATAACATAATTTTGAAATCTTATATAGTAAAAGACGCATTTTCTAAGTATATTTTTAATTTATTAAATAAGTTAAAAGTGTACCTGTAGTATTTTCTGTCTTTATAACTTAGAACTATTTCTTATCGAAAAGAGAGAGAACAAAGAAATCTTTTTCTTGGATTTTTAAAATAACCAATTTTAATAAATAACCTCTTTTCAGAATATCACCGGAGCAGTTACACGCGATGTACGAGCCCAAAATGGAGAAGAAAGACGACGACTGAATCGAAACTCACGAGCATCGGGACACACCCAAAAAAACGCTCATAAATTATCTAGAAACTCTATAATTAAATATCGCAAAATTTTACATTCTTTTTTGTTTATTTGTGCAGTTTTCAGACTTTATACTCATCTTTTATAATGGCTGTAATAAGAAAACCTGTGAAAACACAGTGACTTAAACTACACACATTTTTGCAGATCGGTTTGTAACGCTTCAAATATTTTCAAATCGATTCTTAAATTATCCCGTGGAACAAAGTTGTAAGTAGGTATAACCAGGATCACATTATGTCGATCTGGTCTATTTAGTATAACGTAAAGATGAAAAATATTTATTGTTTTAATATTGGTGCTGTTAAATTATTTGACGTGATACTCCTTTTTTGAAATTTTACTCTACTTATTTTATACAGCATAACCTGATGTATAGTAGATAGTTAAATTTATGTATGGGCTTCGAACCAATCTGTAAAAATGTGATTCATCCCTAAAATAGACGAAAACTTTTTTAACAGAAGGATTATGAATTTGACTTTAATTTTTATTAACGTGTTTCGTAATTTTCCGCGTCCTTGATTTTCACTATTAACAAAGTAGGTTTCATATAATACGTCGGACTTGATCTCATAAGCATCCACCAGTGGAATCTATACTTATTAAACAATAACATACGATCGTTTTGAAGGTTCTATTATAAATACATCTAACATAATCTTATATATTAAGTACCCATTCATGACCAACGGTGCCTTACTATATCACAACTTATTGTTGTTGAATATTTTTGTTTCGTATTAATAAACAAACATTATTATCATGATTGGTTTTGATATTTTAGCCTTTTAAAACATTTACAAATCTTAAATAGGTACTTTTATTTATAAAGTATCAAACAACGCGTGTTTTACCACTGAAATATTTTCGTAGTTTCCCTGCGCGTAGAAAATATCAAAGCACTGTCGATTCTATCAAACTTATCAATAAAATTAGGGCATAAAATATTTTACCCTTAAGCGAGCTAAAAAAGATAAGCGGTGCCTTTATTATAACAATTCACGCGCAAACGATATCGATAAACGATATCTATTTTATATTCTCCCGTGTTAATATTTATAACGTTGTAACGACCTGTTACATAATATTACTTGTCTTACGCGGGTTTAAAACAATAACGTGGTACATATTTTATGACTCAAATTTTTAAATTAGCTGGAACTATTCGATAAAGGTACTGAAGTGCAAGTGAATAAAACATATGCATGGATTAAATAGTAAAATTCTGCTATCGATTAATACTACTGCTATCGATAATAATACTGTAAATATAAGTTAATTTGTTACTTTATAAAGATAATTAGGTATTATATTATAATAGTTATTAAGTGTTGTATGTTTGATTCGCAATTGTTGCAATATGCGGTTAAAAATAATGCATAGTTAAAATGATGGACATAAAGATAATTAGGAATCTTTTAATATTTTTTTTTTTTTTGGAAAAGTCCAAAGATTTCGGAAATCTATTATACCCACCAATTGGTAAAACTATTGTGATACCAAAGGGATTTTCGTGTTTAGGCAAGTCTCAATATATGCGATCTAATAAATTTGTATTGCAGTTAATATTAGGAAATCTGAGATGTCATGAAACAAACGTCCTGTTAAAATAAAACAACATACTGCAACATCGGGTGACGTCGAATTGTCGCTGATCTCGTAATAAGGGATTGTAATTTCTAACTAGTTATGAAATTAATTAGATGTATTATTTTCAATTTTTATAGCTCCTAGCATACACCGAAGATATTTCGATAAGTTTTATTTTGTAAAATATTCTATTCCTCCATCAATAACATACTTTGTTGCCAGCAATCAGCCGGTAGGGTGTCTTGATTTTTGATATAATTACGACGGTGCTGTAAGCTATACATTATAATACATTCTAACAATGTCTTCCCCGTTCGTTTCAAAGTATTGAGCTTCTTGGCTGAATAAGTAAGGTTTAAAATAGCTTGTGAAGTCTGAAACTATATATTTATTGTTTATGATCCATATCAAAGAACATGACGTTATATTACATCTAATTGTAGCCAAATTTTTAATGTACGTGTAAATGTCTTTGTATGTATTGATGGAAGATATAAAATTAAATATATATATTTACGAAATTATTGTGGTGTTTCTTTTATTTTATTAACCCTTCGCTTTTACTATCTTACTATTTTCAATTATAATAATACAAATTACTGAATACTGCGTTACAGCAGATTGCGAAGTCCAAGTTTATTGATTGATAATAGTGTTGCGCGCCATAATTAATGCCCGGTATATGGTGGGTGATTATTAGCGCCATCTAATATCAAGTAGCAGAAATAGGAGTGTCAAGATCTTTCTAGAACTTTCACACTAGCGCCATCTAGTGGCGAGTGGCGAGGGCTTTCTGGGGGATTCTTTGCTAGAACTTTCGACATTCTACTCGAACATTCTAGATGTTTTCGGTGGAAAAGGTCCTATATAAAGTTTGTAAGAAGCGCGAAACCGCGTCAGTATTGAATTGGCGACACAAGCGAAGACTTCGGAGCGAAATAAAGTGAACGAAAGTGTTAAGTGTGATTAATTACTAGTGTGTCTTAAGTTTTAATTGGTGTTCAGTAATTAAAGTGTCAAGTTAATTCAATCGGCAGTTTTTATTGTCACGAACCCTAAGCTCGTAACGATAGTTAACACTTATTATTTAAAGTTAAAATACATCCTACAGCTACGCACAGGCCTCATTTCACTTCTGAGCATAACACATACATACATTTTTATTTTACCCTCTCAGAAATATTGTTAAATATTTCTGAGAGGGTAAAATAAAAATGTATCAGCTAGCCCTTCCCGCTGCTCCAGTGCATGTTGATATACGTTTGGAATATCCCCGAAATATTGCTAAGATGTGTTATTTTCCCTACGATGTTTTCTTCATCTAAGCGTACAATATAAATTAGCAGTTAAATCGCAATGAACAATTTTATTGCCGCCGCCGGCTTGTCTTACGGTTAATTGCTGGCGTGCTATTAAATTTACAGCAAGACTTTATTTCCTGAGCTTTATATTGTTATTTAATTATGATCATGTTTTTGTTCAATATTTAAAAAAAGTTTACGTCGAGCCTCCGTTAGGTTCCCTTAACAATCATATAAATTTTAAAAGTAATCAGGAAAGTATTAGCGGAAAGTGTTTCTACTTTCGAATATAATATTACGGCACGAAATTGTAATGGTCGCCACACACGGTCAGTTCAACTGATCATTCCAACTGATCAGTTCATACTAAAACTGTTGATATTCTTTAAAATATTGGGTTTTCGATATATCGATAAATAAACTTATATATAAAACTCCGATATTGATATATTTATAACAATCGTTATGTTGAAAATTTAATATTTAAATAAAATATCAACAGTTTTAGTTTGAACTGATCAGTTGGAATGATCAGTTAAACTGACCGTGTTCCTTCTGTTAATTAGAAATTTCGAGTATATAGGTGTGTACGTTCAACAAAATTTTATTGCCACATTTTATAAATTATTTTTTTACTGTTCTAAGCTAGTTCTTAGTTACAACCCCGCCTGACTGTAAGTGGTGATGTAGCCTAAGATGGTAAAACGCACTGACTTAACAAAAGTCTATTCTTGTCTTTAAAACAACCACATTTTCATCGGACTGAAGGACAGATGCTGGCAACTTAATCAAGTTGAATAAGTGAAACAAGTTGAATAATTTCAACTTATCTATGTGAGGTCTGTACTCATAACTTTTTCGTAAGAAAATTCACTTTTTATATGTTCAGCATTGTTGGTACAAATCATGTTGGCCTAAAATAAATAAAAAAACAAATTTTAGAGGTTGGTATTGTTAATATTATCCTGAAGCCTGCCTCATCATCATCATCATTACAGTACTTCACAAGTCCAGTGCTGAACATAGGCCGCCCCCAAGGAATGCCACAAAGCACCGTCCTGAGCCACCAGCACCCATCGACTTCCACATATCCCGAAAGCCCGAAAGAGAAACCCCGAGCACAGCCCTCTCCATATCTCGCTGAGCGACTTTGAGCGTCCTCATACGGCCAGCAGTGGAGAACCTATCCGAGTCACTATTACCATATATCTATATCTAACAGCCATGAAATTAAGAGTGTGATCGAAGAATTTTTGTGTTCTGACCTCCGACCGCATGAACAGTTTCCACGAGCTTGACATTTATATCGTCGACTTCATTGTCGTCTTCTAGGCACTGAAAACGGTTTTGTAACACAAGCTGAAAACTTTCGGGTTTTTGGATTAGAGCACCAGGGGGACGGAGCGTTGACTTCATTAGACGAGACCTCTCCAACTTAACGTTTGGATTCAGTGTGCCTCTAACCATTCGGTGATCGCTTCCAGTTTTGCTCCTTGCAATCACTGAGACATCACTAAACAGACGTTCAAAATTGAATTTTTGAATTTTGATAGTACTTCTAAACAAATGGAAAGAATTTTTTAATGAACACTCTAAAAGAAAAGGTTTTTGGTACAAAACGATACAGAGTGAACCGCCTCGAATAACTTAATTTATGGATACGAAATTAAATAGAAATACTATTAAATTAATATTTAGATTATGAACAAGTCATATTCCATCAAAAAAAGTTTCTTATTTGATGAAAAGAACTGATTTACCTAATTGTCAAACTTGTGGAGTAATAGAAGACTTACACTATTTTTTAATGGAATGTGAGCGGAACCAAGGGGCAAGGGACTTTTTGTAAGGACAAATAAGATAAATGTGTACAATATAGGTATTGCGCAGGGCATCCTACATGCCCCCACCTCGGATATCGCATTGATTATGGGCAGATTAATAACAAATGTATAGATTTTAAGATTGACATGTTAACTAACTAAAAATCCCTAAATAAAACAAAGAAAAAAAAAACAAAAATAGCCAGTAAGTGACTGTTCGGAAAAAGGAAT